TTCCTAGGTAGTTGCGTGACAAAGGACGGTAGCGCAGCCAAGGAAGTAACCGCTCGCATTTCCACGGCTCAACTATCTTACGCAGTCACGTGTGGTAAAAGCAGGCTGGTTTTAGATCTGGTCGAGGTTGTATCAGCCACATTTTCACTTTTTGTCGATTTTTTTTGTAGATGCACCATTTCCATCTTTCATAATGTGAAAGTGGCTTTCGACTCAATAGACCGCTATATGCTGTGGCGCTAGCGCTGCTTGAGGGATGTACCCGAAAACTTGATTTTAATATCACAATCCGAGTTCACCACGTAGAGCGATGTTCGTTAGGGTTGCCTTCTTTCTCCTTTTCTATTCAACTTTGTGATGGATCTGATTCCGGAAATAACCCAGTCCTCGTGCGAGCATAGCCGCATCGATTTGCTCCCAGGTGGCAGGTTATCTGATTTGGCGCCTTTGCGGTGCAAAGATTGGACCATTGGGGAACAGAATAAAGATAAACTATCAGTGTTCGAACAGCGCTGTAGGCCGCATTGCACGAGTCTGATGGTCCAAACGGACACACAGTGCTGAGGTTTCAACGAAGAGTTTTAAGTAATCACAGTAGTCCATTGCAGCCAGTACTCGACCTCCATCGATGATGTTGCTTGGGGAGTGTGTATGCATACCAGCAAATAGTAATATACAGTGTGCGATGTTTGCGGACGCATGTAGTGGGTGGAAAATTGTCAAGGGCGGTCAAAGTTAGACTTAACCAGGGGCTCCGTCCCGTAAGTCTTATTCGGCTCCCTGAATGGGGACCTCGGGATCACCGTAACCGGTGGTTAAAGACACTAACCGAAATGGCTGAGTGTCGTAAACAGTGACGCTCGTGCCTCTTCGAAATCTCTCTGTGGCCGTAATCGATCAGAATTGTCTATTTTCTCCTTGACACTGCTCTCAACATTCCAGTCTTCCACCGACTGTTGTGTAGAAAACGCTTTTTGCAACGAAATTTATTTTCGATAAATCGGATCAGGCGGTCGCATAAATATGTTGACCATAGTGCAGATATCTGATCGACCGAATACAACTCAGCGTATAACGAAAACAGAGACCAATCAGATATGTGTACCATGATCACCTTGATCCGCTTAATGCGATATATCGACAAGAAATTTCTTCGCGATCGCCGTTTTCTACATTGTCTATGGGGCTATCATCGTACTGTTTTATCCTAATGGGCAATCAAAAAGACCGCACAAAGGTGCATGGTTTATGGTTGTAAAAACTGAACGCTGAACGCTGTCTGGGTCAGAGGATGATCGAAAGTCCAGGTGATATGAAGACTGCGATATTTGAATAGCACGGGATGAACAAACAGACATCGAAATACAGGCAAGGATTCATGGGTTAAACAAATATGACAGACAGGGTAGATCGAAAAGGTCGAGTCAGGATGTGAATGAATATATTTGACAAGTTTGACCGCACTCTGGCCTGGTTGATTTTTCCACGTAAGTTGAAGCACCCATTACATTCCTACTGTTTCAGGATTAGTTGTCTTCAATCAACTAAAGTGCACCGTAAGGGCCATCGCCGACGCTATTTCTCACCTGCGGGACAAGCACTTCAACAACGTTAAACTTCTCTCTTTTTGCCACAGAGTACGCCACTCCTCAACTAAGTTATAATACAGGGTTTAAAGGACATTCCTCCATGATAACTTTCTTTTATTTATTTACCTGTGTAAATGAACGCTCATTATTATCGTCTAAGATCACGGAACGTGAAGAAAGCTCGTTGCGTATTATGAAAGAAAAAACGGGAAAGCCGGTAACTCAACATTCACACTCCCGAAGCCTGTTGCCGTACTTAATATCACCATGTAACCTGACCGGACAGTTGACTTCATTAACCAAGTTTGACTATATATCACCTCACCGTTAACGGTGTTTTTTGATATCGATTGCAGACAAACTAACATAGTATCACACGATATCGTCTCACTCAGCATGCACTTATTCAAATTTGCATTCAGGTCGCTGGGCGCTAGTAGTGGCTGCTGATGTTGCGGTCTACGGGACCAAAGCTGCTCGTCCTACTGGTGGTGCCGGTGCGGTTGCGATTCTCTTGGGTCCAGACGCTCCGTTGATCTTTGATCGGGGTTAGTCCATTGGTCTACGGTTTCTGGTTATCAAATTTTTGGCTTAATACTGTTTACAGTTAGTTGACAAACAAAGACCAATGTTGCTTGATCCGTTACAGATCTGATTAATTTTCATTAATTTCATTAATTTTCCGATTTCCAATATTGTTTTTCGTATCTGTTTTCATGTTGATGTGGAGCCAGCTGCATACGGCAAACTTGAACACTACTTCCGGGAGCTGTCAGCTATGAGTGGACGAGTGACTCCATTTTGTTTTTGCGCGCGAAAAGCTCAATGTGGTTGCCGTTGCACTGAGCTGGAGAAATTAGCCTGAGTTTTCACCACGCATACTTTACTGACCCTTGTTATTTGCGGATGAGGTTCCACCCGGCCATCGGATATTCCCAATACTGGTTTTGTTTCTTTCATGCATCCTTCATACTCTTCCTGACTGGTCATATTAAGCATTCCTTGCCGTTTATCAGCAAGTTGAAAAGAAGGTCTTAGCTGCCGTCCCAAACCAACCAGCGAGACATTGTCCAACCCTAACCAAGAGGCATAACCGTTATCTTTGGTGTGATAATAGTCACCTCACATTCTTCTTACTAGACATACGTTTGGTCGATGTTCGTAGAAGAAAAATTGGTCAGTCAAAGTACTCCCGTAGGATACAGTGATGTGGCTTGGAGGTCGATGGTAATCAATGCTGCTTGAATACCACCATCCATGGTAGATAGAAAATCAGTTATTATCAATTGAATAGCATGCCAAATCCTCGGATAGGTTTAGGAGTTACCTGCGTTAATCAAGTTGAGCAGCGAATCATCTTTGGCTTGCCACGACAGATGTTACTGTCAAGCAGATCAATGAACTCCTGACGGAAGTTAAATCGGGCTTGCTGACCGTAAATGTGTATTTTACTGACCTAATGTGATTGACGATTGACACGAACTCGTTGGAGTTCGTTGTGCCCCGGGATGATTCAGTATATCAACAAAGCTACTGTGATCACAGGCTTGGGCCTCTAACTCCCAACGGATGCATTGGCTCGGATAACTCAAACTTGACACGGGGTCTAATGTCAAACTACGGATACGCTATCGATGATCCATCGTAGTGGTCGTGGTACACAAACATTTATTCCACAACTTACTGGTTTTACAGATACATCTAGTGTAATTCACTGACAAATGAATTGCTTTCGGTTGTCCTATTTTGCGGCTCCGTTATCATTCACTGACTACCAGCCGCACATCGGTTTACCTATTGTACCCTTCCGGTTACCAATTCTCCTTAAGTGATAAACGCCGACTTTCGATATCCATCGTGTTCTAATTGCATATTCGTATTTTGACCATTGTGAACTCAATCATCCGGGTAGAACGAGCGCATCATATTCATATTCAGTGGCTTTGTCATTAACTGCACTTATTTATCAATCTGTTTTTTAATTAGTTATAACTCCGGGATCTTTTGGCCTGTGTGTCACTACCGGCCGAGTCTCTGCTAATATTCATCGATAGCCGATTCGATGTATTGACACACTGCTCTGTGTTTGGTGTTCTGTTGAATTCTAAGTGAATGAATTGTCAGTGCAATGTGAATAACATCATAATTAATCTACCTCATCCGGCTTGGGGTTTATTGTTTTTGTTCTGATCATCCCCCTCTGTCGACTAGATGTACCCTGATATACTGGTCAGAGTAGCGGTTACTACTTTTTACCAAATTTACGGTTCTTTTCGTCGACCATGATTGGCCATTCATATAATGGGTGTTGCGTACACAGCAGCAGTCGAAAGTGGGCGACTCGCGATATTTCAATCTGTCTGTTTAGTTTTTCTTTCTGCACCAACCGATGCAATAACATTTGTTATTTTATTGTGTCTGGTATATTCG